TAGAGTGAGTATTATATAAGATTCATTTGTACAACCACATCGCAAAGCAACATGATTGATGATACATGGATACAACAAGAATCCCCTGAAACAAAATTTGTTGAGCAAATCAAACATCCTTATTGTGAAGTACAACAAAAGTAGTATCAATGAAATTTCTTTTTTTTTAAATTGCAGAAAACAAAAACAAGATTCATGTTACTCCTCTCAACACGATAATAATTAATGAAATGTCATTCTGTGGAAACGCATCAAGCAGGAATAGATTCATTATTGCAGACACAAAGCAATGCTTACCATCTTCATCCATAATGTCTGCTTCATCTTCTGAGTGGAATCGTTTAAGTATGTCCAGCATTTTCTGCTTACTTCCATCATCTGGTTGCAAATGCTGTAGTTCCTCCATGACATTCTCTCTCATAAAGGATTCGGTGCAACGAAGACTATGAGACTGCCACCAATATCATTAAGAAAAATCAGGGACGATGGTTCAATAGATTCTCCACAATATATGGGACTTATAGCCATCACAAGCTAACAATAACAACTTTCAGCGTAGGTAGATTTCGGAAGAAAAAAAAAAGGAAGTACAAAAGATCATAGTTTTCCCAGCTTCACTTAGGAGCGGATTTTTCACTTACCTTGTAACAAGGCAGAGAGCAATAATGGGTATTACACCGAGGGCAGGTATACTGCGAAAATTGCTTTTGACAACTGCACAAAAAGTAAGCATTGCTGTTATTATAGCCACTCACAATTTTGATAGACAAGCAACTTGCTAAGAAGAAATTATGAGATTTTCAATTTCCCCATAATATTGAATAAGCATGGGAAAAAATACGATAGGAATCAATGCATACACAACTTTTCTTTTGGTCTTTCCAAGATAACCTCAGAATCTGTGTATTTTTTGCTACCTTTTTGGCGCAAACTGGTAATTATAAATGATGTAGATTCCATGATAGAAATGATCAGAGATTTGCACAATCTGAAACTTTTGATGAGACTTCTCATGTGCAGCATTGGTAGAATGTAAAATAGGCAGGTCAAAATAGTAAATGATGATGAAGTCAACATATTCGTCTTAGTGAATAACTTCTCGTATGCCCAGAATGTAGAATAGGAAGGAACTAAAGAATAGATGAACTATGTTGGTGAAACTTCCATGTTCATGAGTTCAATTCCAGGAATTGATCCCCTTTCACCTGAAATAATGTTTCAACCTTCACGTATCCTACAGTGAAGGAAAAAATATTCGCCTCAATACCATAGGAGGAAAGTATTAGGTTTATATTTTTAGATCTTTAAGGGAGACAACTGAATACCCCAAATAATGAGGATTTTAACATGAAATTGTACAGTATCTTGTTCAATTTTCAGATGGACTCTTCATCAATAAAAAAAATCAGATGGACTATTCACTAACATGTCTGATAATCACTTTGATCCCTCAAACGCTAAGCCTGCCTGTGTCCATAATTGTGCAAGCATAATACATTTATAAGATAGGCATCATATAGGCGCTCCAAAATCCCTGAATGGGGAACTAGTCAAATATGTTGGTAACGCATGAGTGAAAGTTCATCCGTCATCCATAAGGGTAAGTTCCATTTGGTGAATGTTTAAACAGATCAGGCAGTTCACTGTGACGAAAAGGCAACTTTTGTACTATTAAGCATCCATAACTGAGCAGTTTGCATTCTGGTCCTAGAATCTAAAAATCTGAATTTGAACTCGAAGTTGCAGATCAATAGCTTTGGTGCTATGAGACATGACCGATGTATGATTTCGTTTTGTTTCCCTTTTACTCCCTTAATTTTCTCTGCTTATCTCAATGAACTCTACAGTCTTGTCAAAGCATTATTATATTACTAATTTATACAAATCAGCCTAACCGCTAGCAGATTCAAATAGACTCCTTTCCCCACCCTTCCCACCCCAAAAGTAACCCATAACGTGAAGACTTTTGGGAAATGCACTTATCCAACATTTTAGCATTCACTAAGAGTCTTCTGCAAACAAAGTGACCCAAGTACACCAAATTCTGGTCAACTTTGTTACACATACGGTTGTACTAAAGTTCATGTTTAACAATCCAGCTTTTGATTTCATTGTCATCTGAAAGAACTACACTCATTTCTCTATATCAACATGCAAATAGAAAAAAAAAATCTGTGACAAATCACAGATGGCATAACCCACAAATCAAAACTCTCAACTCAATCTACATGTCAGGAAGATGCAAAGAAGGCTCGAACAAATCAATCAATCAACTACCCTTCAACCCCAAATTAGCTGGGCTCATCTATATGAATTCTCTTTATAAAAAAGAATTTACTTCAAATTTCGGACCTCAACATCCTATTGCCCATGCTATTTCACGACTAATATTCCGCTCTATTCGTCCATTTTATTCCAAAAAAGGTCAACCTGGTGCACAAACCATCCCGTGTTCACAGGAGCCACACCTAAAGAGGGGAGTGTAATGAAGGCAAACTACACTAACCCAAGCATGAGTTGCTAAGTCCATTTAATTCTAAGTTACTTCTAGTTTCTAATTTGAGCACGACAAGCCAAAAACCCAATATTGATAACATCCCAATTGAGTGTTTAAGCAGAAAACTCAAAAACTTGCTGAAGAACTGAAAAATTGAATCAACTAAAGAAACCAATAAAGCATAAAAAACTTATATATTGAAATTAAAGCTAAAAAATTAACAATACTTACACCCGACATATTATACGAGACGACGAGTTCAGCTCAGACGAACTTGAAACTGCCTCCGATGTTATAATTTCGTCGGCCATGGCAAAAAGTAAAGCAATTAATTAAGAGAAAAAGATCAAAACTTTGAAAGCTATAGCTTTTTGCTTGAGCAAAAAAAATTCGAACAATCTCTCTGGAAACCCCGCGAAGTTTTTTTTTTTTTTTTTCATATAAGGAAGAAGACGAACTTTCTTTTTCTTTCTCGGAGCTCCAGTGGGATACCTGAATGGGCTCAAAGTTATTGGGCCAAAAATCACCAGGCGAAACCTTCTGAATTTTACATGGTTGATTTTAAATGATAATAATTGAATTTTAATTTAATATTTGTACCTATTTCATGAATTTATTAAAGGAAAAACTACATAACTACACATACATTACTGCCATATATACTATATTTACCTCTAGTTTAAAATAATTACATATACTACCACTTTTAATATTTATACCATATATTTTAAAAATTTAATTAGATACACAAATCCCTTAAATATGATATTGGATAACTATCTTAAATTTAAATTTCTTAATTAATGGTTCACATTAACAACTCAAAAATTTTATATTCACATAAATCACATCTCACGTCTACCGTTCTCACCCACACGTCCACCAACCCTTTTTCTTCCTTCATCCTCTCAATACATATTTGCATGTTCTAATCAACATTATACATATAGGTTTGTTTCTATAATGTTATTATTCTCATGTATCTTGGTTTTGTATCTGAGTTAAAATACATAATGTTCTGACGTTCAATTTTAAAAAGTTTTATAAATTAGGTTTTATATTTTTTGATTTTGTTGTTTCTCAAATACTATAATGGCTGGTTATTCTCAAAATCAGATTATTCTTGTTATAGGTACTACACATGAACAATATTATACTAAATCAAATAACTTTTATTTGTTATTTTCACTCATGAGCTTCTCATTGCAGGGACTAACTTTTCATCCGTTAACATTCAAGCCGAGAATAGATCTAAGTGTAGGAACTACTCAATCAAAAGGGAAGAATTACGCCAAGCTTTACTTAACATAATAAATACATCATTAGATATGCAACAATGTTGGATACACATCAGGTGTACATGTATCTAGTTAAGAGTTGATGTATCTGAGTTAAGATTATATGTATTTGTGAGGGAAAAAAATTCAGATGCTAAAAAAAGGAAGAATGTTGATTTGTTTTACTCTTTTTGGATCAATGATAAGACAGATATTCTAACATCGTGAGTTGTTCCTAAATTCGTGCGTTTCAATTACATTCCATATTTATATACACATAATTTATGTATATGCTTGCTATGTATCCGAGATACATGTTTTTGAATATAATGTATGAAATTGATATTTGATACATCAAATTAATATTAGATACATATAAAAGATACATGAAATTAAAATTAGATCATATAAATAGATACATAAAATTAATAATAGACACATATAACAAATACACAAAATTAATACTAGATACTAGTATGATACTCATGTATCTAAGTGTTTAGTTTGTAGGATACATCATCTATTAATAATAGATACATCAAATTAATGAATTTATTATTTTACGAGTAATAAAATGAAATCAATCAAATTACATGACCAAGATATACATGTTTTTGTTTTTTTATTAATAATAATATTAATGAATTTATTATTTCAAAGAATAATAAATAAAATTAATTAAACATAAATACACTCCTTTATTTCTGCCATATATTAAGTGATTTGATTAATTTAATTTTCAGAATTAATTGTCATGTATTCTAAAAATCATCATTTACTCCTCTAATTAAGGAAATCAGTTACAACCAGACCCAGTTAATTTAAAAAGCAAAATACGTATCTCGATTTAAAATTCGGCAGAGAGGAAGTAATATTTGAAACTATCAGGAATCTTAGTAATTAAGACCTAAACTAATGAGATTTATGTAGTTTGCCCATTAAAATCTACTGAGTTTGGTTGAACTCGCATAGGGGCTAGTAGCTCTGCCTTACCAAGAATAGATGTATTAATAATACTGACATTAGTAATGTTGATACTTCATTAGTTATGTTAAGATTATTTCTCTTGACGTTTGTAATCGTTTATAAAATTTTAAACCCTAATTACATGTTTTTTCGTAAGAAATCTAGTTTGCGCGGAAGAGACATTCAAACCTTGTCTAAAAGGTCCATAAATTGACATAGAAATAAAGTAGAAACCATATCAAATGGACAATTAGGAAATTGGATATCTAGCAATTGGTAACCTGAACATAGCAAGACATATGAAATCAACAGTAAGGTTTATCTATAAACAGTACTACTAGTTTATGATATTCTTGATGACTGGTTTGTTCTGTTTGATCATCATATCAGCATCCTCAAGTTTGAATTTTGCCAGTTTTGATAATTCTTCAACAACATCAACCACCCCTTCGATCCTCGTGGCAATTTCGATCACTAAAGAAGCAAATGTTGCAGTTGGTATGATTTCAATAAGAGGGATAACATTAGTACTACTTGTTCTTATAACTGGCTTTTCTTGATCATCCTTTACATTCTTTGGCTGAATAATAAGTAATCCTGAAAGTTGTTCCATCAGAGTTTCTAGTTCTTGAATCGCGTTACTCTTTTCTTGTATTAACATATCCATCCTGGAGGATTTTCTCATTGTTTTCATGTTTAAAGCCAACTCTTTCAGTATCTCACTTGTACTTGAACTTACTTGTTGGCAAGTGTTTGTAAGCTGATTCTTTAACAACTCAGAAGCCTATAACACAATGAAATTTTTTGCCTTTTAGTTAGTTAAAGAGTTCTATAATATTTTAGTAGAATTAAGAAGGATTTAAGAATTTAGCTGACCTGATCTTTTTGATTGATGCAGCTTGTTAGTGCCTCAATGCAACAGGCACAACTACGCATTGACGCGCTGATCTTAAGGTATTTTCCCCATGGATGTTGAAAGTTGAAAAGTCCATGAGCAGGCTCCCATCTAGCAAAGTTAGCCTAGCAGATAATTCCATGTTATATCAGTAAAAATTGAAGTTGTTTTGAGGTTATTTGGATCAATTTTGAAGCAAAAAATGAGTCGGTGCCACAAATCCTGATGGATCGCTAGGATTTCAGCCACAAATGCTGAAAACATTTGTGCACTACCTTTGGAGGATCTGACACACACCCAACGGTATTTTAAAGAGTCCGAGTAACATAGCTTATATTGATATTGGCAAAAACTTACCATTGTCTCTTCAGAGGCCTTTGAATTCAACACACACTTGAAAGCTAGCATTTTCTTAGTATTTGTTGTTGTGTCTTCACTGTCACTAAAAAATTCAGCTACACAACCTAAAAGGACAATTGTGGATCAACTTTAAAAACAATATATAATGAAATTTTATTACTGATATCCAAATTTTAGGCAAGAAAATACTTACAATCTAAGGACTCTGCTAGCTTTTCCAAGTTACTAATGACAAGTTTATGGAGCTCTTCACCAGCCCATATGGGAAATATGAGAATGCTTGTAATAACACACAAGGAAGCACCGATGATGATCGTTGATACTCTCTCGTGAGCCATGTTCAACAAATTTGCAATGCGATATCCAGATATTGAAACCAATGTGAAAGTCAGGATGAAGATCATAGTGCCATAATCAAACCGTGCTTTTACTGCAGGAATGAACCTTGTGAAAGTTGCTGCTGAGGCTAAATTGAGTGAAGAAAAAAAAATTAGAACAAATGATTAACATCCCTATGTTGCTCGGACTCTTAAAAAATGTGGATGTGTGCATGTCAGATCCTCACAAAGTAGTGTACTTTTGGATGATCTGACACAAGTGCGGTAGTATTTTTGGAGAGTCCAAATAACATAGTCATATCCTATATGCAAAAGGTAATCTTTATTTACAAACATCACTCACCTAATATGAAAATAGAAACTCCCATAATTATAGGCTCAAATCTTTTGCCTGATTGATTAGCAATCCAATGGATCCCTATAGCAAGAAATCCAGCACAAAAAGTACCAGTAGCTCTGTTTAAGCATTTGTATAGTGTTGCACCTGCAATTTTCTTATAACTCTTAGCCTACAAAAAAGTGTAAAAAAATATGATTTTCTTTAAAAGTACTTACTACTTACCCACAGTGTACTCAAAAACCACAACAACAGTCATAACAGCCCACATTGCAGTTCCTCCAACACCATTATACAAAGGTCTCATATAATAAAACAACGATACAACGCTTAGAGCTATTCCAACTTTAAGACAATGGATCACCTTTCTTGGTTCATTCTTTCCTATGTTCCATGATTTCTCCAAGAATCTCCTGACTATCAAGATCAAATTTTTCAAGAATCGTTCGAATGAAAGATACATTCTTGTGACTAGGCTTGATTCTGGTGCCAAATTTTCGAACGAACCATCAGCCATCCTGATCCTCCACTCTGCACTATTGATGGTATTCATGTTTATGCAATATAGAAAAACAAACAAGTGTACATGTACAAAATATTGTGAATGTCACTTCTTTATATAAAGATGTAAAACTTTGGCCACAGAATTAATTTAAAGATATTCAACTACTATTGGAGTAGGTCATGACTCAGTTGAAGTTTTCATAAAGCAGTAAGTTTATATGAAAAAGTTTATTCCAAGATATCAGGTTTAAGGAAAACCACAAGTACCATTACAGTTTGGCTGATAAGTGGTCCAAATAAACAATTAATTTCATAAAAACTAAATGTCATCAGTTTGGGTTTTATTAAAACAACTGGTGGTCACTAACTAATACTTACTTTAAAGTATGGTTTAGGTCATCTCACTGTCTAATTATAGTAATCCTTTATGATTAGTGCTTCTCTCATCAGAATCCTCTTCTATCAGTTTTTTACATTTTACTTATCTAGCAAGATCATTTTGTTTATGCTTTTACAGTTTATAGTCTTTTTCTGATATCTTAGTTTTAGTGTCCTGTGGTGGTATTCTGATCTGTGTTTGTAATTTTTAGTTAATTCTTGTTGTATGTGCGAACAAAGTTCCATATTGATAGCTGAAAAGATTGAGAAACTACATATAAGGCTGTGAGGCCTTTTGGGGAAAACCGTGCCGACTTGATCCAAAGTGGACAATATCACACCATGTTAACAGTATCTTTGGGGCTTGGTTTACCTACCCCTTATGAGCTTAGAGATGCACACAAAGAAGCTAGTTGCAGTTGCCATAAAATACTCAAATGATGTGTGGCACACAGTGAATCTCGAAAATTGACCTGTGGATCGTGGTGATGGGCCATGTGGAACTTAGTTCGAGGGGGATATTATCGGGTGTGTGAACAAAAGTCTCACATTGATAGCTGAAAAGATTGGAAAGCTACATATAAAATGTATGATCTCTTAATGATGTAAGGCCTTTTAAGGAAAACCGTGTCGACTTGGCCCAAAGCAAGGCACAGAGTTATCGAATGCTTGTGTTGGTATTAGGTACTTAGTGGAATAATAAGTATATTTACTCTAATAGAATATTCTATAATGAATCAAAAACCCTTTGGGTATTGGGGGTTTTACCAAAGTTGGGACAAAATTAGGCCACAAATGACTTATGTATGTTAGTTAAATAACATAATATGGCTTTTATAATTCAGGTTTCAATTGGTTTCTTCTGCTTTAACTTTGAAATGGAACATCACTTATCTCCACTATTATTATTTCACTTATTTGAGAAAAAATATCAATAGTTTGTCTTTCTTCAAGTAAGTTTCAACAATATTACACCTGTCCTTTTCCAGCATCAGTATTAAAATAGTTGTTAGAGGATTCATGTGTCACTATTTCATTAGTGGAACATAACCATGAACTATTTGATAGCCAGTGGCGCACAGTTCGAAACTCCATAGATAATGAGTCCTCCCCTTTATGGTTCTCCATACCATGTTTTTGTTTGTGGTAGAGTTCGTACTCGTGACATGCACCTAACCACAAATCACAAGCTACGCTCTTATCATTAGACCAAAGCCTGGAAGGCATAACCATGAACTATCAAGTCTCAAAATTTGTTTTCTTTCACTATGTGCAGACCTAAACCGACTCCTCTGTACCAAGTTAAAGCTTTTACATGAGTTTTGAGTCTCACAGCCACATATATAAACAAAAAAAGTATTTTCACGCACTTCGTCTAGACGAGGTGGTTCGATTAGTTACAAAATCATAGACTGCAGTGACATGAAACTAGCAGTTTTTGAAGAATCAAAAAGATAAACAAAGATCCTGATGGAGGTTCAGCAAGGTGATGCTTGTCTTTATATGTCAAGCAAAGACTAATGTAATAACATTTCTCAGTCATTCATGTTTCATAGTTAGTTACAGAAGAAACAACAGAAATTGGAAAAGTAAAATCAGAAAGTAACCTTGAATTACCTAGCTAGTCAGTCAGCTTCAACATATAAACAAACTATGCAAGAGAGAAAAAGAAATTTCTTCGCGTGTTCTAAGGGGTAAAAAGGAGCAATCTTGAAAAGAGAAAAACTCTTTGAGACACCTTCCTCTCAATATGCTCCTTCACCGTGTTCTATGACACCACAAACAAATCCTGGAAGTTGTTTGCAAAAACGCCTATGCACCCGAACAAGTTTACTTCACTAGGCATTCAAGACGAAATCAGAAAATGGCACATTTCCTTGTCTGGAAGTGTCAGCTAGCTAGTTGTCCTTCTAAAAAGAATAGAAACTGCAATTTTTGCTATCTTACACATCGGATTGTTTCAGGTAAGCAGCCAGATATCGGCACAGCAGAGTTTGGACAATCATTTATTAGAGTATTCCTTCCACCGGATGTATACTGAAGCTGATTATTCAGACCAACTTCACTAGCACTTGTCAAGTGTAAAAGCTGAACAAGAGATGAAAAAATCTCATGTCTTGTTACTAGCCGGTTACCCTGCACGGAAAATTGGAATATTAAATTGATGAAAACAGCTCAAAGGAGAAGTGAAAGTGACTTATTTATTGATGTCACTTTCCAGTTAAGTATTTACCTCAGCCTCAACAACAAAGTGTGCCCACATCTTTGTCTCGCGAGACTCCATCACTCCCTTCAATATGTTCAAGCCAAAGCCTCGGATTATATCTACCATCTCCAGAAAGAAGCCTTGTTCATTGCAGAGTATCTGAGCAAAAGAGTACACATAGTATCATATGTTAGTTAAAGTTTCTATCAAGACCTGGCTAAATGACTAGATTTATCGGTAACAGAAAAAACCATTACTTACTTCTATTAGCATTTGACCAGGTGTACTAAGGTCCTCAACTATCAGCGGACAAACCATTGTTTGATCGCCAATTTCACATGCCCATGTAACTCCATTACCATTAGACTTGGAGTTTAACCGAGTTTTTGAATCCTGCTAGTTGATAAACGTTGTTATAAATTAGTACTGAGAAGCATGTCTATCTTTTTAACTGCTAAAACAAGTCAAATCAATCAAAGTGATTGATTATTACCTTCAAACTTTCAGCCTTTTTGAGTCCTTCAGCATGTTTAGTGACACCTTGCAAGAAAAGCAAGTGCTTTACAGTTCTGTGTAATAAGCGATCAATGCTCATCTGCCATAGAAACAACTTAAATATGAGTTCTTCGTAGCAATACTAAGTGCGGAAGCACCTTCCATGAAATCTAAATGTATTTCTTTCTGTTAGTATTAAGCAAAAGGCATAATACATTAACATATACTCAAACTTGGTCTCCACTAACTAGTAAACACTCTAACTCGTCCCCACTGTATCTGGTGCACACTCGATGATGACGTGGCACATAAATTTTGGAGGTGTCGAGATGATCATTTTGTAAGTTGGAGTTTTTAACTGACACAACGGAGATGAGGTGTCTAGATGTGCATACTCAATGTTGGAGTGCTTATTTGCCAGTTGAGGCCAAGCTCAAGTGAATGTTTATGTATTACACCTAAGAAAAAAACATAGTGAGTTTGGAGACAATACCTTCTCCCCATTAGGGATGAGCCCTCGCAACTCAGATAGACGTTCATAGATCAGCTGCCGATCTTTAGGAATAGGCCGAGTCCCTGGTTTAGCCTTCTTCTTGGTAGGCTTTGAGGATTTTTCATTGCCTTTGCAATTATTGATGCTGCATCTGTCTCCAATTAATGTACTTGCATCCAATTTTGTGTTGACCTCACTCTTGGCTTCAAGGTTGCTTGTCCTATCTAGACCACATTCAGGCTGCACCAACTTTGCATTCTTATCAAAGTTAGAAAAACCTAGGGGATTTTGAAGATAATTGCATTCTGAAGAACTTCCAATTCTTCTTCTCTTATTTGTTTCTGACAACTGTCCATCGGAAACAGATCCAGCAAATGAATAAGAGCTGCTCAAGGCACCATCCAGAAACTGGTCTAGTCCCAGTTTGGAGAATAACCTGTTAGCTGGCCTGGACCTGAGTTCATTAGCATTACTATAGGTCCATCCAGAGTTGGAAGTGCTAACAACAGGGTTCGAAACATCACCCCAGTTACATGGTTTTTTAGAATCATGCTTTACACCAACCAAATTAGTCATTTTCTCAAAGGGAGACATGTTTGAACAGTTTGCTTTTTCAACAGTTTCAAAGGCGTTGGTGACAGAACTTTGAATTGAAACAGAAGCATCACTGTCTGAATTGAACCTAAACTGCTCATTTATACCAGCAGAGGCTGAGATGATTCCCGTTGTATCTAATATGCTATCATTGATAGTACTAACTGCTCCATCATTCCCCTGGTTGATGGGACATTGAACAATATATCCATTTAGAGGGCCAGTGGTATCCTCATTTGCAAATACTCCAAATCCACCTAAGGAACCAAATGTTGTGCTCTCATGAAAGCTTTGAGTTGCACCTGTGCCATATTCAAATTGGTTTGTCCCCGTGGGAAGGACATAACCAAAATCTTGTATGCTCATATCTGATGGGAGATCTTCCCAGGTTGACGTCAAAGAGGAATCGTGGAAGCCAGTAAACAACCCAGCAGATGGGAACATTGCTTGCTGTAGTTGAGTATCAAATTGGCTGCTGCAATTATTGAACTGATTCACATCCTGAAACTGGTTTTCAGTCAAAAATGTTGTAGCTACATCAGAATTCATTATCTGACTTTCCGCATTGCATGTTACCGATTGAATGAGATCTTCTAAAAAACGTGAATCCTTCATTAAACTTTCATTGTTTGCAGTTGGAAAAACAGTGGAATTCACAAAATGCAGATTCTCGCAGATTGATGAAGTCGGTGATCCTCCTATCCCCTGGAAAATTGTTCTTGCTTGATCCACAAAACATGTGCTCTCTTGAAGCTGCAGAAAACATAAACAAATAAGTAGACATACAAATTGTTTGTGCAAGGACTTGAAGCAATCAGAGTCTGATGATGTGATCTCATGGTTTGATCAGTAAAGGAATACTCGAGATGCTATGCCAACATCT